TCAAGATTGACATTTCAAATCTACACTTTACCATCCCAGAGGTCCAAATGCCCCTCCCTGATGTTCCAGCAAGCACTGTTCCACTATAAAAAAGAGAAGAGCAACCTACCAGGTCAAGCAAATATTTTCAAGACATTGTGGGGTTCCCAGCTACATACTGTGTATCAAAACAGACTTAGAAAGAGAAGGCAAGAGGTAGAATCAGTGTGATGCCAAAGAAAAGCAACAGAAAATAATAAGATAACCTAGAAAAGAAAAATAAACACACACACACACACCCCTTGAGGTATCAGGAAGAGGACCTCCTGCTGGAATCTGAGGGGGCAGAGAGCAGTCCTTCCTCTGCCACCTGTGTGAACCCATCTTCCTCAGAATTCTAGACAGAGGCCAGGCAACCTCACATCCAAGTGGCAAGAAAATAAATGTCTATACCAGAGCGTGGGCAAAGTCAAGACTCCATGGCATAGGGAGAGCTGACTCTTTGAAAGAGGACATTTATGCAAAGGGTCCTCCAGATAGAGTCAGTCGACCTCACCCTGGGCCCCCCAGGGTTTTAGTTTGTTTTAAGATTTATTTTATTTTTAATTATATATATATATATCACATATGTATATATGTATAATTTTTGTTTCTTTTGAGATGTGGTATCAGATAGCTCTTATCTCAAGCTCTCAAACTTGTTCTGACCTTGAACTTGTAATCTTCCTGCCTCCATCTCCTAAGTGCTAAGACCATCGGTGTGTGTTACAGCAGCCAGTTAATGCTATAAAACCCAGCATTCCATGCAAGCTAGGCAAGCACTATACCAACTCAGCTACATCCTCAGCCCACTCCTGTAGTTTTTAATAGAAAAATTAAAACTGTGTGAAATAGATATTATGGGAGTCATCACCAAGATCCAGGCCATACCCCAGGCCACACAAGTGAGTGGAAATCAGGAACCCAGACCTTTGAACTCATGACTTTATCAGTTCCCACCAGCATTCTAACTTTTTCAGAATCTTTTCTAGTTATGCTGGTAGTTGTGTAAATCCAGCGAGGTGAGGTGACTACTTGAAGAATCCAAGCAACCAGCTGGTTAAGTCTGTGTCCCGTGTATCCTGTGCAAACTGGTGTTGTAGCAGCCTCCTGAGCCCTGGTTCTCCTCTAGTCTCTGCACTATCAAGACAATAAGAAATAGGCTTAGGACTGGGGCTGTAGCTTAGCTGGTACAGTGCTTGTCTGACATTCACGAAGCCCTAGATTTAGTCGCTAGCACTGTATGAGCCAGGTACGACGATGCATGCCTGGGATCCCAGCACTGGAGGCACAGACGCAGGAGGATCATGGACGCACAGTCATCCTCAACTCCATAGGTAGTTTGAAGTCAACCTGTGCTAGAGACCACCCTGTCAAAAGGGAAGGAAGGGAGGGTGGAAGGAAAGGTGTGTGTGTGTGTGTGTGTGTGTGTGTGTGTGTGTGTGCGCGCGCGTGTGTCTGTGTCTGTGTGTCTGTATGTGTGTATTCCTCTAACCCAGTAGGCTCTCAAAAAAAAAAAAAAAAAAAAGGAAGCAGAGATTAACAGCCCACAGGAGAACAGCCCACTCAGAGCCAGACTCAGTGGCAGCATTTAGCCACTGCTTATTGGGGTCCTACATTACATCACATCTTGGGGAGAAAATAAGAAATGTTTACATTTGAGGAGATCTCTAGCCTGGGCAAGGAGATTAACGGCATAATGTGATTGTGTGCATCTGACTAAAGTTGAAGGGGATGGGCAGGATTCCAAGCTGCTGAGGCAGCTGGCATCCCCTGGATAACCCTGACCTAACCTCACGGCTGGCTGTGCCCACCCGTGAGTCTCCACCTCGCCACAGCATCACCACTGGTGAGCAGTCACTCTCCCAGCCCACAAGATTGTGTTCTGTGGCTAAGAAGCTGCGCCGGCCATCCTTTACTCCAAATGTGGAAGAATCATTACTGAACATCAAGGAAGTGCCTTTGTTCTAAGCAGTTTTCCAGCTGTTCTTGCGAATCCAGCCTTCTGTGCTGCTTGCCTTACCCTTCATTGTGCTCTTCTAGGGTAGGGTCTAGTGCGGGGCTTCAGAGAAAAGCCCATTCAGAGGTACCCTCCTCCCACGGGAGCCCATCAAAGGGACCTCCTCTGGGTAAAAGGCTCCTCAAGCTGGGGGCAGCTGTAAGAGCCACACCAGCTGCTCTCCTAGGTCAATAGGTCAAGCCTGACAAACAGCCAAGCTCATATTTCTGACCCTGAGTCTCAATAAACTTCAGAAGCAATTTTAGGTATTGAGGTGACACTTGTTAAAGAAAAAAAAAGACCTAAAATGTGGTCCCTTTATGTGTAATAGCAAAGTGAACATTTAAATGGCCAGCTAAGGATGGAGGATGGGGCTAAAACGGTAGGACGTTTGCCTAGCATGCATGAAGCCTTGGATTCCATCCCCAGCACCACATAAACTTGGAATAGCAGTTCATGCCTTTTATCCCAGTACTTGGCAGGTGGACACAGGAGAATACAGAATGAGTATTGCATAATGAGTTTGAGGATGGTATTAATTACAAGAGACCCAGTCTTTATAGAAAGAGAAGCAGGAGGAGGAAGAAGAGGAGAGGGAAGAGGAGGGGGAGGAGGAGGAGGAGGAGGAGGAGGAGGCAGAATAAAAGTTGTCCTGTTGTCTGTAAATCAACAGAAGAAAGCCTGGAGCCTCGATCTTCAGTCAAGGAGATGAGTAGGAAGAGGGTAGCCAAGAGTATGTTTGCATCTCCCTCCCTCTACCTCTCCCTCCCTCCCTCCCTCCCTCCCTCCCTCCCTCCCTCCCTCTCTCTCTCTCTCTCTCTCCCTCCCTCCACCTCTCCCTCCCTCCCTCCCTCCCTCCCTCCCTCCCTCCCTCTCTCTCTCTCTCTCTCTCTCTCTCTCTCTCTCTCTCTCTCTCTCTCTCTCTCGTGTGTGTGTGTGTGTGTGTGTGTGTGTGTGTGTGTGTGTGTGTGTGTGTGTGTGTGTGTACCTTAGATGTCATTTCTCAGGTCCATCTATCTTGCCACAGTTTGACACAGGGCCTGTCCTTGGCCGGGAACTCTCCAAGTAGACAAGGTTAGATGGTCAGTAAGCCTTCACAAGCCTGACCCAAATAACACTCAACCCTGGGAATTGATATTAACAAAACAAACTGGTAATCACCAGAGCAAAAGCAAACTGAAGGATCTGCAGAGATGGCTCAGCCGTTGAGAGCAGTCACTACTCCTGCAAGGGACCTGGGTTCAGTTCCCATCAACCACACGACATCTCAAACCATGTAACTCCACTTCCAGGGGATCGAAAACCCTCTTCTGGCCCTCCCAGGCATGAGGCATACATGTGATACATTTATATACACATAGGCAAACCTCATATACATAAAACAAAAATAAATCTTTTTTATTATAAAGTGAAGGTCAGGAGAAGGGACAGTTAGATGGCACTCAAGTGTCTTTAATTAATCACTTCCTACAAGGACAGAGTGAGAGAGAACACAGTGATGTCATCAGCCTTCTGTCTTCATATAATTTGTCTCTCACCCATCTCCCTTTTGACTCTGTGTTCCTCAAAAACATCAAAGCAGCTTTCTAAACTTTCCCAGAAAAGATTTACTAAGTCAATTTTATCATTGTGTGTGTGTGTGTGTGTGTGTGTGTGTGTGTGTAAGTATGCATGCATGTTTAGGCCTAGGGTTATGCACAGATGTGTGCATGCATATAGGGACTACAGGTCAGTCTTGAGTACTGTTCCTCAGGCACCATCCACCTTGTTTTGCTTTCCAATTTTGTTGTTGTTTGTCCTTTTTGTTTGGTTTGGTTTTTCGTGTTTTGTTTTATTTTTGAGACAAATTTTCTCGCTGGCCTAGGGCTTGCCTTGTAGGTTAGGTTGGCTGGCCAGTGAGTCTCTGCCACCCCACCCCTGGGATTACCATCCACTTATTTTTAAATCCGTGGAAATGTAGCCAAAGTTACTGAGCCTATTCAGTTTATGGGGACACGGATTACTACGTGGTCCCTAGATGACTAGTGAAGAAGGGGTTCCTCTTGGTTAGCCTCCATCGAAGTTCCCTACCAAAGCCCAAAGCTAAAGACACACAAAGATTGGCTCAGACAGTGTGGCGATAATTGCTCTCAGGAAGAAGCCAAAGCTTCAAGTGCATCATAGACAAAAAAGTGTCTTTTCTGCCAAGTGTGATGAGAGGCAAGAGACACTTAACTGGGCTGTCTAATGGCAGAGGCGTCCTTATGTGGACATGACCACCACTAGAGTTTCAAAAAGGTTCAATCTTAGAACCCTCCTCCCTGCCCCAGCCCACCCCATCCCTGTGAAAACAGTTTAGGAACAAACAGGACAGTCCCTGGAAACTAGGTCAGACATGAAACCATGCATTGATAGTGAATTCCATGTTGGACAGCCAGAAGGCCTGTGCTCTCTTCCTAAGCACAAGTGTGCAGGGAGGGATTCCCGGCTCAGTGCAGCCGCCGTGTCCTCAGTTGCCCCTCCAATCCCCATGTCAAGACCTCGTTCTCTAAAGCCTTTGTACATGCAATTTGAAAAGCACATCCAGATTTTCAAAGACCTCAGCCAAGAACTGTCCTCCTGTAAAACCAAGGCTTCCCACCCCAGCACAAACACTTGAATCCCTCGAGATGGAGATTAGCGTCTTCAAATCTGCAACTGTTTATGACAACTGACAGCTGGCTGAGAACTGAACAAGTTCGAACTTTTAAAATGTGAATCATTTCTGTTGTGGTTATTCTAAAGTTCCTTCTCACTGTATGTTTCTTGCTTATTGGACACTTAGTGACCTGTACCGTGGGGACATTCTGTTAGAAATGCATCCCCTCTCTCAAAAAGCTCGCTATTCTGGCCAGTCTATCGTTCCTACCCACAGAGATGATGTCTGAGGCTTGAAGTCGGAAAGCATCAAGCGATCACCTGAAACAGGGGCTAGGGAGGTGGCTCAGTAAATCAAGTGCTTGCCTTGCAGGTGTGAGGACCTGAGTTGAATCCGCGCAGAGTGGCAGCTGCTTGTAATTCCAGCATGGGCAGGTGCAGACAGGCATATTCTCAGGCTCATTGACCAGCCAATCCAGCCTACTTGGTAAGTTCCAGGGATACAATCTAAAAAAATAAAATAATAATAATAATAAGAAGATAAATAAGATAGACAACATCGCCAGGTGGTGGTGGCACACGCCTTTAATCCCAGCACTCGGGAGGCAGAGGCAGGCGGATCTCTGTGAGTTCAAGACCAGGCTGGACCGACAGCCTCCAAAACAATACAGAGAAACCCTGTCTCATGAAACCAAAAAAAAAAAAAAAAAGACAACATCTGAGGACTGACAGCTGTCCTCTGGCCTTTACATACATGCATACACATGTGCATCTCCACCTAAACATATATGCACCTATACACATATGAACACACATGTATACACAAGTTAAGTCAATAGATGAGTAAATGAATAAATAAACAAAAATAAAAATTCATTCTAGGGGCTGGAGAGATGGCTCAGCGGTTAAGAGCACTGACTGTTCTTCCAGAGGTCCTGAGTTCAATTCCCGGCAACCACATGGTGGCTCACGACCATCTGTAATGAGATCTGGTGCCCTCCGCTGGCATGCAGGCAGAAGACTGTATACACAATAAATAAATAAAAATATTTTTAAAAATTCATTCTAAAACCAGCTTTGAAACTTAGTCAATTCTAGTACAAGGTCTCCAGGGGTGACAAGTTGGCACAGCTTAAGTAAAAGGCCTTCGGAAAGTCTAAAACACCTCAATAATGTAATGTATTATAGATGGTCTCCCTCTAACCAGCCCTTAGCACTTGAAAAGCATCATCTAGGAGGTTAAGTATGCTTTGAAGTTTTAAGGACAGTGGGCAGCCTGGACTGTTGTCCCCTTTTGTCACCACAACCACCATGAGAAGGAAATGGTTTTGGAGGACAGAGAATAAAGTGGTGAGTAATTTTTGTCTTTTAGTCCTTCTGTGTGCGTACACATGTTCATCTGTGTAAGGGCGGATGAGTGCGGGCCAAAGCATACAGAGAACAACCTCAGATGCCTGCCCTCATCTTCCACCTTGTATGACACAGGCTTTCTCGTGTCATTTTTTTGCTGACCATGCCAGGCTAGATGGTGAGAGGGCAATTTGAATCAAGTAGCCCAGAGGGACAGGTGTGGGGAGTTGGAACATAGAGATGAGCAGGGGTGTTGGGAGGAGCAACGATATCCAAACATTGTCTCACATTTCAAGAAAAAGAAAACACACTGCAAAAAAGATCTCAGACCCAAACATTTACCCTGGGCAAAAACTGAAATCTGTCTATCGGAACAGTTGTTAATGTGTGGGAACACTTGTACGGTGGGCAAAGTGACATGCCAAGTGTTTTCTGTGTATTAATCCACACCTACCCTCTAAGAAGTCAGTGATAAGCAATTATCACACATGTAGTTCTTAGAACAGAGTTTAGCATGTAACCAATACTAGACAAGGGACTGTTATTAGCACCACCCTATAGGACTGGGAACTAAAAGAGAGAGTGGAGTTCACTCGCATCTGCACATCTGGTTGAAGTGGTCAAGCTTGATCTCAAAACACAGAGGGAAAGCATCGCCAGTGAATGTCAATCTAACTTAAACTGTCGCATTGTTTGGACAGCTAATTCAACTCAGCAGACACTTTTAAGTGCCTACTTTGATGAAAAGACTAAGTTCTGGGAGAAACGAGACCTGGGTTACATCATTGATGTGTTCCCAATCAATTAATTAACTGACTGTTTCAGGCATTCGAGAAAATAAAAATAAAGACACAGTAATGTCTGTTCGACCAGTGGAGAAGGCACATGCTTGAGTAACTGACTCCCTGCCTGGTCAGATGTGGATGACAATAGAAAGATGTACTGGAGCATGCTGGGGGATTTCAATCCAACAGATCAGGAAAAACCTATCTGAGCTGCGCTTCTCCCAGTGTGTCAATGTCAGAAGCTCTGGAGTGTAACCAGGTAGGAGGAGCTGTGCTCCCTCTGCATAATAAGGCCAGAGTTACTCATCTGCTAGAAATAGGGTTAAGGTCACTTTAATAGGAAGAATATGAATTTCTCCTGTTGGCCAGATGGGGGCCTTTGGAACAGGATGGATGAGTCCCAGGGGTCCTCAACTATATTTGAATTCTTATACTTTGTGAGAAAAATAATCCAGCCTAGAGACAAAGCCCCCACAGCCTGTCTCTCCCAACTCCCACCCCCTCAATCTCTTTTAAACCAGATCTCACCAGGAAGTGAGGTATCTTAGGCCCTGCTTTCTCCACCATAACCTCTCCCCTCCACCCTTCTTCCTGCGACCAGTGAGAGCTCTGGGGAAATCACATGAACCCCTCCAACACTGACTCCTTCTGAAACTCTGCTGTGGCTCCACTGGCAGTGTCGGCATAGCATTCCTGAAGTCTCGGGTTTGATCCCTAGCACCACATAAACCAGCTTTCGAGGTGCACACCTGTAATTCCAGCACTCAGGAGGTAGAAGCAGGAGCATCAGAAGTTCAAGGTCATCCTTCACAACCTAATAAATTCCAGGCCAGCCCAAGACACGTGAGACCTTATCTTTAAAGTACCACAAAAACCTTCAATGACTCCCATAGAGGAGTCACTGGTTGTCAGAAAAACTAACTTATTTCCCGAAATTTACCCATCTCCTGCTGCAATGGCCGTGTGAAAGTTCTGCCTTTGACCCACATGGGGAAGTTTTTAGGCTCCAAAGAAATGTGCTAAAAGGAAGCTCAGGAGATGACTGGTAAATACTTGCTATAAAAGCATGGAGCACCAAGTTCAATTCCCCAGAGTCTACCTAAAACACAAGCCAGGCATGGTACCACGCACCTGTAGCCTAGCACTGGAGAAAAAAAGACAAGTGGGGACTTCAGGCTCACCTAATTGGTGAACTTCAGGTTCAGTGAGAGACCGACCATGTCTCAAAAAGCAACACCTGGTAAGCCGGCTCAGCCAGTAAGGACCCCTGCTGCCAACCAGACTACTTGAGTTTGGTTAGTGGCACCACATGGTGGAAAGAGAGAACTGACTCCTACAAACTGCCCTCAGACCACACTGAAGCTGTGGTGTGTGAAACACACACACACACACACACACACACACACACACACAGTGTGTGCTATTGCACTGAGTCCTACTGTGGGCATTGTGTTTCAGACTTCCTATTGAAGTGATGGGTCAGCAGCCTCAGCAACAGCAGCAGCAGCAACACCCAGCAACAGGTTAGAAAAAAAAAATCCAGTCTCCACTCCACCCCTGTGCCCCTGCTCTACCATTAGCATTTCAATGAGATGCCCTTGTGACCTGGTACTGTGCCTTGGAAAGGCAGGAGGCATTTGTTCTTCTCTGGTCCAGGAAGCACTTAGTCTTCTGTTGAGGCAGATTTCATGTATCCCAAGTTGGCCTCAAAAGGTGTCAGGTGCTCCTGCCTCTAGCTGCCAAGTGCGGGGATTGAAAGTGTATGTCCTCATGCTCTGTTTATGGGGTCCTGGGGACCTAAACCAGGGCTTCAGACACCCTAGGCAAGCACTCTACCATCTGAGGTATATCCCCAGCCCACATTTGCCATTTTGAGTTTCCAGCCTTAACATATTCCCACAGCTTGACAAAACTATGAAGAAGAAAAACTGGGACCAGCCCTGGAAGTGGGAATGATCTGAGAGGCTGGTCACCCAGGCTGAGGGGATGAGCATCTGTCATGGGCGAGGTCAATGCCTAGATCTTAGGAGCACAGGAGATATTTACAGCTACTTTATAACCAGTTGAGGAAACAATCGGAACAAAAGCAACCAAAACCACTTGGAAAGAAAAACAGAGCATGAACAAGAAATAATAGCTAACTCAGTTCCTGGATCTCCAGGTCCCCAAGATAAAGCATAGTACAATTTAAACCTCAAAGAACTTACAACCTTGATGGAGATAAGACCTGGGGACATGAAGCAATGCAAGGCCAGAGACCAGGGTTATGTAACATCTTGCTTGCACTTTAATATTAGCAGAGTCTTGTGTACTTACTGTGTGCTAAGCACCCCTCTAAGGACTAGAAAGTGTGTGCGTGCGTGTGTGTGTGTGTGTGTGTGTGCGCGCACGCACGCGCACGCGCACGCGCACGAGTGGGTGTGTCCCCTTACAATAAGAGTGGGGAGGCAGAGACAAGTGGATCCCTGGGACTCACTTGTGCTGTCTCAAAATAAATTTTTTTAAAAAGTGTGGGGGAGGGCACCTGAAAAAAACAGCATCCTATGTTGTGCTCTGGCCTACACACACACACACACACACACACACACACGATCTGCTTTCTTCTTGAGGAAATTGAGGCACAGCGTAATCAGGTGACCTACCCAATGCCATGCTCAGCTTCTGCCACTAGCCCTAATCCAGCTCCACAGTATTTGGGGGGGGGGAATGTAGGGAGCCCCTAACCGTGATTTTAGCCACATCTTCAAGTAGTCACCTAGGCTGTGTTTGAAGGCTGGCTGGTGTGGGGATCCAATTTTACCAGGACAGTATTGCGCAGCAGTAGCAAGGTTTCCCTCCTACACTTCTGAAGAAGTGAGGTCAGTGAGTTCCTCTCCGTTAAAAGGTCAAGGACCCGGCTGGACGGTGCCCAGATCTAGACTCAGAAAGGCTTCAAGGACCAAACAAATGTGGCCAGTAACTAGAGCATGTCCACAGTCAGTAGCTTGAATCCACTTTCCCTCGTGATTTAACCCAAAGCAGGAAAGTTAGCTCATTCCATAGCTCCCCCTTTTAGCTTGAAAATCCTACCTGGATGATCACTTAACCAGAGAGTACAGAGATGTTTCTTAAACCCATTTGCTAGGGTGTTGTGCCCAAATTCTGAACCCCAAAATCACCAAGAGGCCCATTTCTTTGCAAAAGCCAAGAGTCTTTAATTGAAGTTATTTAACAAGCTAAACCCATTAGCGCGGGCCCTTCATCCCTCCACCATGGTGGATGGCTGGAGAAAGACTCAGAGCAACCTGGAGGCAGGGATTTTAAAGGGCAGTGTAAGGGGAGTGTCCAGGGGTATGAAACAGTCTCAGGATTGGTCGTTTCCAGGTTTGGGTG